ACGTCTGCGGGTGAGGACAACAGTGGCGGGTGGGTGTTTATGCACGGGGTGCCCCGGGCTTTGAGGCTCAGGGAGATGGAGTCTGTCCTAAATATAGCACCAGCCGCAGCCTTGGAGAGGAAGTGCTGAAGTAATGAAGGCAGAAACAAGAAGCAGCCCTCAAGTGGACGTTCCGGTCGGCTTCATCCAACCCAGGAGGGTGGGGGATGCACACTCCTCGCCTTCTCCAGGAGATCATGGGTTCCGTTCAGAAAAGACATCCCTGCAGAAGCATGTCCCTGTAAGGCAGCTATCAGCACACACACACACACACACACACACACACACACACACACACACATTCTGTGACCCTAGGGAAATTAACCTGGTAATCAGCGCACTGTCTCTATCCTCAGATCAAGAATGCGGCAGCCAACGTTCTCCGGGAAACGTGGCTCATCTATAAACACACGAAGCTGCTGAAGAAGATCGATCACGCCAAGGTCCGGAAGCACCAGAGGAAGTTTCTGCAAGCTATCCACCAGTGAGTACCCCAGAGGGCCAGCCCGGAGGGGCCCCGGCCGGCCAGCGCCTTCTGACACGCCCGGGAGGCATCAGTCCCACTGGGGCTGGAGGCGCCTAGCCACAACCTGGTCTTCTTTAGAGAAACGCCTGCTCCTGTGCTGTCAGGTACCATCCAGTCCGTTCCAACTCGACACACAGCAGCAGGGCGCCCTGCCCGGTCCTGTGCCAACTTCGCTGTTCCTCCACCCGATAGGCTCAGGCACAGGGACGATGGCCATCTCGTGGAAGGGCCTCCTCTTTTCCGCTCCCTCCACTTGACCAAACACGATGTCCTTCCCCAGGGACTGGTGTCTCTCTTGACAACATGCCCAAAGCGTGTACGTCGAAATCTTGCCATCCTTGCCTCTAAGGAGCGCTGGGGCCCTGCGTCTTCCGAGACGGATCGGTTGATCCTTTTCAGCAGTCCACGTGCTTGCAGTACTCTTCTCCAGTGTGTCCATTTCCCCTTGGATTAGTTCACGTCGTATCATGAAGCTGCGGCGGGGTGGTGTTCTTGGTTCCGGATAGAAATTCTGTTTAAAAGTAAAACAGTCCCGCTTGGCTGCACTCAGCAAGCGCAGGGGGTGCCGGCCCAGTCCCACAGCTGTCTGGCATTCACCTAGCGTACCTGCCATGTGCCAGGAAGGTAAAAATGAGCGTCAAACCTCGAAGGGTTTCACGTTCTTCACACGAGTCCTCGCGGCGATGCGGGCTGTGTACAGTGCTGTTCTTGCTGCGTCTGACTCCTGGCCGCCCTGTGGGACAGCAGAGCCGCCTCCCTGAGCCTGCTAACTCGTCATCTGCCCGGGGCGACCTCCTGGGCTTTCTCCAGCAGAGCAGCTGGGTGGCTCTGGACGGCCAACCTTTCTGTTCGCAGCCAGTGCTTAACCATGGTGCGACGATGAGCGGCATCTCCCACCATCCTGTATTGGGTGGAGCCGACCAGAACGTCCATGTAGAGTGGAGATATTTAACACGGATAGTGGGAGAGGAGAGGCGGAGCACGTTTCTTCTGACCTGGAGGTTGGGGACGCCCTGGACAGCAGAGAGTAGGGCCAGGTGGACCGCGCAACCCAGGCGCCCCCTGCTGGGAAGTCCACTGCAGCTCACAGTGACCTGTGGGACCCAGTAGAACCGGTCTGGCTCACAGTGACCCTGTGGGACCCAGGAGAACCGGTCTGGTTCACAGTGACCCGTGGGACCCAGGAGAACCGGTCTGGTTCACAGTGACCCTGTGGGACCCAGTAGAACCAGTCTGGTTCACAGTGACCCTGTGGGACCCAGTAGAACCGGTCTGGCTCATAGTGACCCTGTGGGACCCAGGAGAACTGGTCTGGTTCACAGTGACCCGTGGGACCCAGGAGAACCAGTCTGGCTCATAGTGACCCTGTGGGACCCAGGAGAATTGGTCGGGTTCACAGTGACCCGTGGGACCCAGTAGAACCGGTCTGGCTCACAGTGACCTGTGGAACCCAGGAGAACCGGTCTGGCTCACAGTGACCCTGTGGGACCCAGTAGAACCGGTCTGGTTCACAGTGACCCGTGGGACCCAGTAGAACCGGTCTGACTCACAGTGGCCCTGTGGGACCCAGGAGAACTGGTCTGGCTCACAGTGGCCCTGTGGGACCCAGGAGAACCGGTCTGGCTCACAGTGACCTGTGGGACCCAGTAGAAGTGGTCCCTAGAGCTTCAGAGACCTGCAGTCTTCATGGGCACAGACAGCTTCCTCTTTCTCCCGGGCAGCGGCTGGTTTCAAACTGCCGGCCTTGTGGTTAGCAG